GTCTGCTGGTGCAGCAAGAGACGGCTATCCTAATTTTGAATATTAGCTACTGGAATTCTGTAAAAACGCGTTCTCCTCTAAGAGTAAGGCGCGGGTGGGGGGGAAGCAAATTCTGACCGTGTCGTGACCAGAAGGGAGCAGAGAGAAGTTCACGGGTCCTTTTCCTGGAAAGACACCTGAAGGCTCTGTCCACCTGTTGATCAGCCTCAGATGAGTCTGCTTGGAAGTTTTGCCCGGTAGAGAAACGAGATCTGTTACAGACATGGTACCGCATCGCCCACATCAGCGGCCGCCAAGCTTCGGACCTCGCAGCCCGCAGTGCTCCCGGACCACGGCTGGCGACCACTGCCTCAGTGACTGGCTCAGGATGTTCTCTGTCAGGGGGGTGACAACGGAAAGTGCTCATCGTCCTGCCTGTATGCAGTTATGCGGGCGTCGGGGACACCGCCCTTGATGCTTCTGTTCCCGAGAGCCCCATCCTGATGCCCCTGACCTCCCCGGGGTGGTCTGATCAGTTGCTTTGGTGGCGCCGGCCTGTGCCAGGAGTGTGTCCGCCCGTGTGGGGCCCAGCAGGAGTGCAGCGCTGCAGCCTCCCTGTGGGAAGTTTCCTGTGTGGCCTGAGCAGAGCCGGCCTCTGCTGCCCTGCCTGAGGCCGAGGTGGATGGTTAAGGGATTTGCCCTCAGTCTCGCCGCTAGTTAGTGATGGAGCCGATTAGTGATGGAACCAGGGTGACATCTGAGTCCGCAGTGCCTGGTCTGGGCGGGCCTCAGTGCCTCCACCCCCTGCCCTTGCCACTTCGTAGGACACCCTTTTTTTTTTAGGACGACTGGGAATTTGTAGTGAGGGGCTGTCTCACTTCAAGGTCATGCTCAGCCAGCCAGTGAAGATGGTGTGTGGTTATTTTTGTCTCCTTCATTCAGTTATTCCCATACAGACGATGTAATTCTATTACGTTAGCAACTTGCATTTTAGACGTTCCGTGAGTACATTTCCATTCTGATAAGTCATTTTGACGACACTGGACGACTAGAAAGTGGTTCATCCTGAGAATCATTGGACACTGTACCCACATGTGGTCGGCCTCGTGTATGTTTGGGTTCTGGTTGTTGAAGGTGTTTGGGACCCGTCCTCGGTTTTGGACAGCACTCAGCAGCAGCCACGCAGGGCCAGGCCATGTCCTTCCTCTAAGGCAGCTGT